ATATTATTTCTGAAGTCATAGTGTAATGGTTGCATCCTTCCTGCAAAAATCAGATAACACTTTAACTTTTATATTGGGTGACCGGCTTTGAGATACTTATCAACAAAGTTATGTAGAAAGAAGTAGCTATAATCTTTATGGCAGTGATGATTTCACAACAAAGCTGGCGTACTCCAGAAATTTCTCTGAAGCTTGTTTTTTCTAGGAAGACTAATTTAAAAGCAAACAAAAACGAAACTCTCCACTCAGAAGCATGTTCTGCTTCCTCAATTTTATGCTCCAATTCCTCACTTCCTCCTATACTTGATACTTGAAAGACATTGCACTCAGTTTAATACAGATCAGTTTGATTTCTTTCTAGAGGATCAAATGTCACAATCCCCAATGTTTCCCTAAGGAATCAGCTTGGAAATCAACATGTTATCTAAGGATGTCTCTCTCTTCTTGCCAGCATTTTGGTAAAGAACAGATGAGAATGCTCCCTTGACACTTCAGAGCCAAAATTGAAAAAGCAACAGGATCTATGTCCGGGACTGTCATTATTCCTCCACCAAAACCATTGACTATTTCAGTTCAGCAATTCCATGAGCATTTGGAATTTTGAAACTGCTCTGAGCAGGAACCACAGCATTTAAAAGGAAATGTTTACAATTTAGACCTCAAACAAGCCTTGGAGTGAGGATAATCAGGCTGCTTCTGTTTATCATGCTGCCTGAAATGAGCAAAGAAAAACCGTCCAGTTAGTATAATGACAATGCAGCATATTCAGGGGATGACAGTGTTCAGCATGGTTATTATTCATCTATACATTATGGTACCGCTCATCACCAAATTCCTTACCTGCTTTTGAATCTCTCTGGGGGGTGCTCATCTTAAATAATTTGTCCTAATCAATAATGGAAAAATTAAAGTTTACAGCTATCTAGGAAAGACATATAGACTCATGTTTATCCTGAAAAATGATCTTAAAAGATGCCAGATGCCTAAAGTAGAAGTGAGATTTTTTTTTCAAATTAATAATACCCATTCACTCCCCTATTTACAGGAGGATGCAAGTTGAATTCACTCTGTGAATAGCAATTACCAATCATTTGTTGGCCTTTTGGCTAAGATCAAGTGTAATAGCAATTACCAAATTCTAAAAAGGACCTGATTACTTTGTTATATCAGCTTCTCCTCAGAAGTCAACATTGAAAGCTAAAGTAACAAACAAATTCTGAGGGTAGTATTCATGGTTTTTCTCAGAAGTCCCCTACTCTGTTCCAGCATATTCTCTAACACAAGCACCCAACTTGATTTGCATTTTTAGGATTTGCAGGGCTTTACTAACTTGAAGTTCTGTCTGTACTGTAACTTTAAATTAGCAGATTTCTTTCATCTCTCTTCAACTTCCAAAAGCCAATTCAAGTCCTGGCTCTTCTCTCAAATTACATTTGCCCCCTGCTATACTGTCCTCAGAAGTGGTGTGCCTTAATTTTTTTATTATATTCACATAGCAAATAAGTATTTGTTCTAACTATTGCATTTTCATTCTAGTATTAACTTTTTCTGCTTATCTGTTTTCATTAAGATTAGTAGATACCTTATTGAGGTCAACAATCTTATCAGTATGAGACTTTTATAACTTCCATGGGGTTCATTTATATTTTTATGCTCACTGATTGATCAATATCTTCCTATTAGGCTGGTCCCAGCTGACAAGGAATGACATTGCAGAAACATGCCTAGCACTGAGGCTGAAAACATGAATCTTCCTATGTTTATAGTATTGTAAACAAGTTCTACAGTGTGAGGAAAAATGTTTACTCATAGTGCATCATTTAAAAAACAACAACAGATTTTTCTATTTTTATCTTTCATGTCTCCTTTCTCAACCCCTTTCTCAAATTCTCTCTCTTTTCTTCTAATTGTCAAAACCTACATGCTATGTTCTGCCGAAGACTGACTTATGGGAAAAGCTGGCACTGGCAGAATCATCAATCTTCTCATTGGAGATAATTACTTTTGGGATAACAGAGTTTAGGAATGTCTTTAGATAAACTACTAAGGGGTGTTTGTATTGGGTTTGTATGTGTGGTTGTTTGTGGTTAGCAAAGCAAAATGAAATTGTAAATTCTTGGGAGATTTTGCCATAGAGAAATTAAGAGGATTATAAATTGTTTTATATTCTGAATGCCAAGGTGGTTATTCAGAAAATGCCAATGAACAAAGAAGGGGATACTAACTATCAGGTGTGCAAGAAGGTTTCTTGGCATATCCTTAAGTATATCTCTTCTTGCCTCTTTTCACTGTATTGCCCTGGACTTTTAAATTTTAAAACTTAAAATAAAAACATCTCTTGATTTTTTTTCCTGTGGGTCATCAATAGTGCAAATGTTAAATTTATGGTTTGACTGTGTTTTTGTTTACTTCTCAGGAAGCTAGTCTAGATTTAGCCCTATAATTGTGTACATCATCACTTCCTCCCAGATATGTGCCCTTTGCCAGCTTCACTGCAGTCCTTTACCTCCACCCCTCCTGTCCTAGTCTACCAGTAGCAAACAAATCCAGCAGTAAAACTACTAATGTCCAAGTATATAATTCCAGCATCATTTGGCTTTTCATTTGACGCAACAACGCAGAGAGCTGAATGGACATGTAGAATAAAGTCTAAGCAATTTTTAAGATTCTTACCCATCTTCTCCCCTCCTCCCATCACTAAAACACAGTTGTTTATTTCTTCTGTAGACTGCAGAGTTTGGAAATTCTTATGTGCAGTTACATACTCTTGAATAAATTCCCACCCAAATAATTTTATATCTATATACAATAACAGATCAATATATACTTATATGGAAAATATGGATAGCCATAAGAATAAAAGAAAATATGGATAGCCATAAGAATAAATAGTTGGGAAGGAAAGTACCTTCTCTAGGTAGATAGAGTAGTTCAGCACCTATAATATATGTGTATGTGTTTGTACTTAGAGGTATGATTAATTAAACACAATCCAAGAGCTTATTCCAAGACTTTTCAGGAGGTCATGGTAGCATTTCTTTAATGCCTTGTGTATATTCTTAGATGTGATGCGGTAACACATATTTAACGACTACTCAAATAGCACGATCCCCCCCCCTTTTAATGCCAGTTCTATCTATATCAAACAGTTGGAAATATCTCTGTGATAATTTCTGTTCATTCAGAGGCTACAAGCCTCAGAGTAGAAAATGGTTAAAGTGCTTATCACCGCTTCAGTAAAATCCCGCAGTGCCGTAATAGAAATTGCAGTAGAGCTTTCGGTCAGAGTCCGGTTTCAGTCTAAGACCATGGTCCCTTCCTCTGCATTACCCTGAAGGACACAGATGCATTCTCCTGAGGAAAACCAGACTTAATAATGTCCAAATCGGAAACTATCCACCTGAGATAACAAATTTCCATAGGAATAGTTCCACTCACTCTAAATCCATAGCCAAAGAGGTTGAATCTATATATGCTTTAGGACTCCCAATATTTCTAAGAGATGCATTTTTGTGTGCTTGTATTTATGCCTAATTACAAGGATGGGAAGAGAGGAAGAGGGAAAGGATTCATTCTTAAAGTTAATTCTGTTTAGTTCAGATAACCCCACAACTATAAATAAATATGGGGCTATTTCATTCCTATAAACAGATACTGATGGCATTTTCACAAATACCTCATTCTTGTCCATCCCAGATCTGTAGTCAGATCTATGTTTAAAAAAAAAAAACAACAACCCTTGATATTCAACTAGAAGATAAATACAGTATTTTAAACTATTTATTTTTCTAGCAAAAAGAAACACAAAAAATTTCCATAAGTAGACTATATATATTTCTTGAAGCTATTGCAATAGGTGAAGATGGGAAATGTAGTTAGTTGCCTGCCAAGGAATCTCTGTGGGCAAAATTTATTTTTCCTTTCTTTTTTAAAACCGATTATGCGTGCTTTATTAGGGTTCTCTGTGAGAATGAGGTTTCAGAGAAGCAATTTGGCTTCCAGCCCTGGAATATAAAGCCGGATCCAGATATCTCTGCCGCAGGTAAAATAAGAAGCACTGCGACTGGACGCTGTCCGTTGTGCTGAAAGGTCGCGCGGGCCAGGAAGAGCTGTTTTGCTGTCCAGGGTGCTGAGTGCGGGACCCGCAGTCCCCGAGGCAAGCCCACCTCCGCCAACTCTCCATAGAATCCTCCCAACCAGCACGCTCCGCCCGCCCCTCGCCGCCAACCTGCAGTTGATGTGGAGCAGGAGGCATAAATCAAGTCCGCGGGGCATGGTGGCTGCTGTCGCTGCAGCAGAGCAGTTCTCCCGGGGCGGGAACTACTCTTTACCTTTTGCTTTCCCAGCGCTCACACCCAGTTTTCCCCTCAATTCTTCCCTAGATAATAGCGTGCTAAGTACAAGTCAGAATAATAGAACTAGAACGAAAGGGCTTACTTGTTTTGTTCCACAATAATAATAATAATAGTAATAGTAACGATGATGATGAT